CGCACACGCACACGCACACGCACGCATCCGAGGTGCTCCATGGCACTCACTGCCGCAAGTACCTGCATTCAGGGAGTAGCCTTTAATAAACCCCGAAGACTTCCTCGAGTTCATGTTTGGGGTGCCCGTTGATGTAGGCTTGGGTTCTGTCGCGCAGACGGGCGAGACCCCAAAATGTGCCTTGGATGGACGCATTTTTCTGAGCTTCGAGGAACTCAAAGATGCCCAGTGATGCTCTTTGGCTCTTGAGGGCCATATGCGGAAGCTTGGCCGCGAAAGTCTTCTCCTCGGGCTTCGAAGCCTCAAGTGTTGGAGCAATAACTCCCACTAGCAGAGGCTATCTGTAAAACCAGTGGAGCAGAGTCAGCCTTCCGGCAGACAGTACTCCGCTGCGCAATCAGCTCTTTTCGGAAAACTTGTCACCGTGCTTGGCATCTTGTCGGGATCCAAGATGTACGGCAGATAGCCCGACCCAAATCGCGAACGGAGTCTCACGCACATTTCTTCGCCATGATGCCGAAGACAGCTTTGCTTTATCATGCAGCTGCGGTGTTGCAGACGTAAGCTTGGCTCTGGTAAGGAAGTCACTTGGGAAATCTTAGTATTGGCGGTATCTCCAAAGAGGCTGATGATCATCCTCCAGTCTCAAGCACGATGTTGAACGCAAAGTGTTGTGTCGCACCGTGTGAAAATTGTTTAATTCCTTCGTGAAGTTGAAGTCTCAGGCCTCCATGCGCCCGGTCATTCCGATTGAACCTCTAACACAACATCAGCAAGGCACGAGCGTGCAGTGGGCCTGAGCCGCGAGCTGCCCGGATTGCCATGCTACCATGCACAAGAACTGGCGTTCTCGAGACGAAGAACAGGTCTACGATCTCGAACGACGTTCACTGAGAAGCTATCTGAGAGAATACGCCCCCAAATCCGGCATGATACCGCATGTGCAGGCATGAGTCGTGCCGGCATTGTCGACAGGCACAGTTAAGGTAGCCTCCTGCTGTTTTGCCGCCATTGAATCCGTGGACAACCTTTCTCGTGCGTCACATTTTCGCAATTTGACTTTTCAGGCTCCGTTTTGGTCTGCTGCAGCTGGCCAAACACCTGCATCTCGTGCTCAATGCTGTCCTACTTATACTGTCGGATGCCACTCGACCCATGCCGCACATGGTGCTTGACGAAACATAGCATTGAACAGAGGGCCTCTCTCCCGCTCTAACAGTGCAGTAACACAGTCGCATTGCACCTATCTGCCCACTGAACAAGAGATTGACATGCCACGAGCTTGACAAGATGAGGCCAACTAGTACCTTTCAGAACTTTTGTCGCGGAGCATAGAACCTCCTGCTGGTGTTTCTGTCGGCCAACAACAACAGCAACAGCAGCAGCAACAACAACAACAGCAGCAGCAACAACAACGACAACGACAACAACAACCACAACAACGACGACGACCACCACAACAACAACAACAACAACAACAACAACAACGACAA